GCAAAACAACTAATCCTAAGGATCCATTTTGTCATTCGTAAAACATAAATTACCTAACTTGAAAGGTGTAAATAATATAAAGTATGTTAGTACCTGGCATTGTGTCCAGCATGTAGTAAGTTTTTAAGCAATTCTTAGTTTCCTTCCTTTTTTCCCTTTTCCCTGGCAGCTCCCCATGATTTTCTCTTGGGTTTCATAGCTGTCTGAACCTGACTTGAATTCTCTGGCTTCATATTACCTAGTCTCCTTACGAAAGAGTGATAAGAGACAGTGTGGATTTGCTGAATTCTCTGTTAATCACAATGGCCATTGTACGAGCCTAAATAGGTTTCATAGCTGTCTGAACCTGACTTGAATTCTCTGGCTTCATATTACCTAGTCTCCTTACAAAAGAGTGATAAGAGACAGTGTGGATTTGCTGAATTCTCTGTTAATCACAATGACCATTATACGAGCCTAAATGTCAATGCATTTTAATTTACAGACAATTGTATATACTCTGTTAAAGCTTTATCTCTAAAATATTTTGTTATGCCTGTCAATGAGGGCAGAAGAATAGAAGTCAGTGGCCTTAATCCAAGTGAGTCAGAAGGTGAACTAAAAATGGAAATTAGGATACACTCAATCTAATTTTGCCCTCCTTCACTTCATTAAAAAGTTGTATAAAGAACCTGACCTAGCAGTTCATTGAGAGACTACACATTTAAAAATTACCTTTTTTAATGCTATAGAAGTGAGTAGTGTGCAGGTAGCCTGTTAAGAACCCTGGCTCCTGGCACTGCAGAACCACAGAATACAATGAACCTGTGGAGGTAATGGGAGCTTCTGGAACAATTGAAGATTAACATGGTTGACTCAAAGTAGGAGGGAAGAGATTAACACTAAAGAGTCAAAGCCACGATTTTCTTCTTTACTTCACCATAATAAGCAGACCATTTAGTGCTGGCTATAGGAACAAGATAATAGTATTGTCACTGGATCATTTTCACAGTTCTAGCAGCTGTGTTATTCAGAGTATGTGGATGGAACCCATGTGACCCATGTGATTGGGGTTCTAGGTGGAAATGATATCATGATGTGAGATGGAAGTCATGCTGCTTATGACTTAGCTATTTCTACAATAACAGTTTTAAAGTGCTAGTATGTGTGTGTGTGTGTGTGTGTGTGTATATATATATATATATATTTTTTTTTTTTGGTCATTAGCCCAGGCATAGAAGGAACAAATTATGTCAGTGATTGTGAATCAGTTTCCTAATTTTTTACTTTTTATAAATTAAAAATGCAGCATCATATCCTTTTTAACAAATGAATAACTAGTTGAATTTTTTCAACCATTCATTGTACAGTTGTGTTTTAACTTCCAGGTCAGATAAGTGAATGGACTTTTTTTTTTTTTTACCTTTTTGTCTTTTTTCGTGACTGGCAACGGATCGCAACCCTCAGTGTCGCGCCCGTACCGGACCGGGACCAGCAACGGGATCGCAACCCTCGGTGTTGCGCCTGCATCTTGCTCAGCCAGTGAGCAGCCGGTCTGTATGTGGGATCCGAACCCTCGTCGGGAGTGCCCCCGCGCTCCCAAGCGGCGCACTGTAGCAGTGCGCCACTAGGCCGGCCCGTGAATGGACTTTTCTTACTCTATTTTGTCAGTGTCAACAGGATGATTGGATTATAATTCAGTGAATAGCTTATTTAACCTTTAAGAAGCCTTGGTAAAAATGTCCCTGTTTTTAAGATTTGAAGATTCTGATTTTTCTTGTGATCTCTTTTTACTCAAAATATGTTAGTATGGGAGTTCTGTTTTTATGATATAATTTGCCAAATGATAGAGCATAGGATGTTTTTAAGCAGCATATTGAACCATTCAGTAAGTCCTTCACAAATATGATACCGATCTACGATCACTAGGGTATATGCCTTAATTTATATTTTAGTAGTGATGAGTGAAACTTTCTATAGTTTTGAAGCAGAAAGGAAAAAAAAA